GAGAGCAGTGGTGAGATGTGTGTGTTGTGGTGCATCAGTGCACAGCCTGGCTACTTGGGAAGGAAAAAAAAGAGTTTTGAGGTATTATTTAGTAAAAGGAGCATTATAGGTATATGTGCGACGTGGCGTGGTGGTTGATTTTACTATGTTGTTCTTGGCCTCTGTCGGATGCCAGTGTAGGTAGGGTTGAATTTAAATGGATTCTTAACGGGGAAATTGACCAGGAGGTGGCGTGAGCTGCCTGCAGGAACCCAGCTGCAGGGTAAACCCCAGCTGTGCAGCACCATGGTAGTGCTCCTCTGATGTCATGGTATTCCTGGCAGAGCTGTCACTCTGAAATCCTGGTTTAAGACTGACTCAGGAATGACAGAGTTCCTCTGGCTGTTTGGGAGGAAGTCCCAAACTTTGTAGGGGAGTCACAAGAAGCAGTGGTATTGGCTGCTCTGAAAAGGACATCCAGCACCCTCACTGTTCCTTTGGAAACAATGTGGCTACTTCGTTTTAAGTGGGCTGGGAGTTGGGGATTTTTGTTCCCTGTCACACTTCTAAGCATTAAAAGCTCTGGGCACCAGATCCTGGTGAGTTCACCAGTATCTTGTGTCCCACAGAGCCTTCATTCTGCCTGTGTGTGGCTCCTGCTGTGGCTGCCTGTGGGTTGCAGCTGTGGGGGTGTCAGGGTGGCTACTGAGGTTGGTGGCTGAGCCTGGTTGGTGCCTTGGGGTACTCTGGAGGTAATGGTGTGGTTTGGGTTTTGTTTCTCCCCACAGAGGATGTCACCCCCATCCCCTCCGACAGCACTCGCAGGAAGGGTGGTCGCCGTGGACGTCGTCTGTAAACAATGCTGCACCTTCCATTATTAAAGTTATCTTTTAAACCTCTTCTCAGCTGTCTGTTTTCTTAACAAGGTGTGCTCAGGACTTGAGTAGCTTTGGCTTAATTACATCCACAAGTGGCTTATCCTCTGCTGGGCGCCTGGTTCAGGTTGTTAGTATTGCTGCAGCAGAGGTGATTTTAGTATGCAGATGAGTGGATTCTAAAAGCACTGGAATTACAGCTCCCTCAGCTGCTCTGTTTATATTTTTATACTTGCAGAGGTATTTAAGAAAAAATTACTCCTTACTTTCTAGTCACTCCATTTCCTGCAGTGGTGTTTGCCCTCCTTGGAACGTGCTGCCATCCTCCAGGCTCTGGAATTGCTTCCTTGGCTGCAGTGTTTTAGACCAAGGATTTAAAACAAGAGCAGCTTTGTGGGTGTGCAGTACTTGGGAAGTGCAGTTTAAGCTAGGTGCGCTCTGTGTGCTCTTGGTGTTTAGGTGATGGGTAGAATAGTTGTGGCTTTCACAGCTTGAGAGAGATTAAATTGTTGAAACTCCTCCAGTGCAGTGATGACCTCACAGCACAGAGTCTGTGCTGACTCGGATCTGTCTGTGTCCTCTCCAGGGCGGTTGGTTGGTAGGACCTTGTTGTAGAGAGTTGTTCTTTCCCTCCTGTCACAGTGGGACTCTTGGCAACGAGTTTTCAGCTCATCTGGAGCTGGTAAAATGCTTGTCCAGGGTACTTGTGGTTAGGTTTAAGTGGTGGTTATTTATCAGAATTGGTTGAAAAATGTTAGGATTATTCTTAGCACAGTTGTAAGGCCAATATGAATAGTCTTAGACATCATATGTGAACTGTAAAATGAAGGCTGGAAGGTGGTGTTCTGGTCTCCTGGGCTCTTGGACAAGTTCTGCTTCCAGATCCTGACGCTTGAGAACCTTATGGATTCCACATGGGCTCTTTCTCACACCTTTACATCTGAAAACACTTCACAAGGGATTCTGCCATCTGCCTGCTCCTAAGCATCCCTGCCCTCATGGGGAAGGACATTGACAGCACTGGACACACTCCAGTCCCAAAGCAGTCTCCCTGGTAAGGTTACTTCAGCCTGGGTTGGATTCAGGGTGTGTTGCTGTCAGGCTTGGTCTGGTTCTTGGTCTTCAGTTCTGGAGCTCTGGCTCTGGTATGAAAGGGGATGTTTCACAGCAGAGGAAACCAGGCTATGTCTGATCTGAAGCCATGGTGTGTCTCCTTCATAGTGAAAACGACTTGGATGCTTGTGGTTTCTAAGTGAGTCATGATCTTTTGGAGGTGTCCCTGCTGTGGAGAAGAAAGCTGGGCTTGCGAGGGAGTTGAATGCTGCTGGGCTTTCTGCAAACTTGCTTAATACATGACTTCCCCTTTCTGTGGAAAAATAAAATCTCTGCCTTGACAGCTCTTCCCAAGCCAGCTTGTCCCTTGGCACAACCAGAGTGTTTTATTTGCAATGTTATATGTGGCACTGGAAAACTTGAGGAACAGACTTCCTTCTAAAACGTTCTGTTTGCAGTTCAAATCACTGTTTTCCCGTACTTGAAGTCTCCTTTGAACTCTGTGTGCAGAAGGTGCTGAAAACATGACACCAGCAGCAGCTCAGCCAAGGTGGAGCTGAAGTGAGGGGGGAGCAGGGCAGGGGGAAAGGAGGCAGAGGCCTGGTGTGTTAGTAGCAGTTTTTGTTGATATATATATAGATATGTATGTATTTTTATATACATATACTTGGATACAGAGAAGCCTGCTGCGTGCACAGGAGCTGGGGTTGTATCAGCACTTGCCCTTTGGATGCTGTGCCATGGGCAGGGTATTTCCCTGGGCTCAATGCACGATTAACGGCAAAAATTGCTTGTGTTTTTTTTAGACCATCTGACATCTTTGAAACAACCTGAAACAGCTTCCGTGTCGGTCTGAAACCCCCGAGGGGAGAAATAGCAAAGGAGGAAGAGAAACCTGAGAGCCAGGCAGGTCCCTGCGCAGAGCCAGGCCTGTGTCCTGGGGCTGCCAGGAGGGAAGGGCTCTCCTGGTGGAGCAGCGCGGGGGGTTTCACGGCCCCTGCCTGTCCCAGCGAGACCGTGGGGCTGTGCAGGGGCTGCAGCCCGACCCCAGCCTACAGTGCCTCTGGAGAAGGGTCTGCAGTGGCTGGGGAGCCCTGGGGCTCAGCTGTGTCCCTGAAGTTTGCCCAGAGCCCACCCTGTGTCACTGGGGGTGTCACCAAAGGGGGCTTTGCTCCCCAGACGTCGGTCTGTGCAGGGGCTGAGAGGCGGAGGCTGGGCTGGTAACAAATGGCTTCACGTGAACACCCGCGGGTGGTTTCCACCTCTCTGACTGAATTAATTGTTCTGCTGGCTTAGGTCAAGGTCCCTGGGGAACGGGCAGGTCTGAGCTGGGTCCTGAGACTGCTGCGTGCTCCAGATGGCTTCATTTCCCCACAAAAACCAACTGGTTCCCCTCCCTCCTGTAATGGTACTTGTCAAGGTTTCCATGGGCAGCACGAGTAGAAGCCTGGGGGGTGACAGGGCAGTGACAGCTGGGGCCGGTGCCAGCCTCGGGCTGTGGAAGAGAGGGGGGGTTAAAGCAGGCTGGGAGCTGCTCTGGGGAAACATCTGTGTCTTCCTGGAAAAGTTGATTTACAGACTTAAAGCACTTCAGATGCCTTGGGCAGAAAGGTAAAGTGGGAGGGGAAAAAAAGTACTGAAGCAGCTCATGGAAATGGTCTGCACAGAGCAAGGGCTGATTCGGTGCTGATGGTGCTGGGCAGGGGGCTCAAAGGGCTCAGCTGTCCCGTGTTCAACCCCCTGCGTTTGTGGTTTGCAGAACTGGGCCCAGCTCCATGGAATCGTTGAGGGTTTTGCTCACTGAGTTCCTGTTCAGGCTCTCCTTGGTTCCCCTTAGGGCTGAGGCTGGTCACGGAATGGGCCCAGAGTTTGGTCCCAGGGCAGGGGTGGGGGGGCTTGCAGCCCTAGCAAGACGCCCAGGGAGGGCTGGGGCTGTGAGAAAAATCTGATTCCCCCTAAACTGGGAGATTCAGAGTACAGGGAGAGCTGGAAAATATATGGAAGAGTTTTGTGCTTCATTGTTTTGTTTTTTTCCCCCTCTTTTTTTTTTTTTTTTTAACACCTGGGTTGGTTCCTAAATCACCTAAAAAGCAGCAGCAAAGTTATTTGTCTTGAAAATAGCCTCTGGGGAGGAATGCAGGTGGGGGCAGAGCTGGGGGCAGAGCTGGGGGCAGGGGTGGCCTGTGGTCAGGTTGTTGGACACTCTCAGGCAGGGGCTTGGTGCACCCCTGGGTACCTGGGGACTGTCTGGGCTGGGTCGTGTGAGCCTGAGGACAGGGCCAGGCTCTGGGCACTGAAACCTTCCCTTGCAAGGGGGCTGGAATTGCCCACCAGGGAAGCCAGAGCATCATTCCACTAGCACCCCCTTCTCCTCCAGAAACTGCTGGAAGACCCTGCTCCACAGCTTGGGAATGCTTTTGGATCATTCCTTAGCCCTCCTCTCCCAACCTGCTGCTGGAGGGATGGCTCCAAGACTGACTGGAAGAAGGGATGGAGTTGCTGAAGGACCCTGCCCCTGCTCACCCCAGCCTCACCACTCTCAGGTCCTGGTGCCATGTCTGGGTAGGTTTGCCTGGAAACTGGTGATGCTGGGCAGATTGCTTTCAATTTCACACTCTGAGTTTCACTTTTGGCTGAACCTTGTCCGTGGTTGTGCTGGGTTCTGGTGCTGGATCCAGCTCAGTGCTGGACCTGACATGCCTTGTGAGGCCAAGCCCCATGGTGCAGTGCTGGCATCGGGGACATGTTACCCCTGGGTCCTTGCATAAAGTCACCTGAACTCATCTTTATGGGGGTTGGTGGCTGTTCTCACTCCATATAGTGCTGGTGGGACTGTGAGGTGGGGACCCTCACTGTCCCTCAGTCTGCCCCACATCTACTGGTGCTTTGGGGTCACCCACCTTGAGGGGCTGCTTCTCCTCTCTTGGGTTTGGGGATTCAGCCCTCTGAAGCCACTGCAGGCAGGGTGAGAGGGGTGCCCCAAGAAGGAGGAGGCCCTGAAAGCACTTGATGGGCCTTTAATCATTACCCGTTCAGCCTGAGACGTGCTGGCCAAGCACCCCCACTCAGGAGGTGTCTGAGGTGACCCTTGAGATGACATTTGGATCAAAGTGTAGCTTTTCCCTGGCAGTGAAGGTAAGTGAGGAGTGGGTGTCCCCTGCTGCTCAGCCTTTGCTGTGGGGAGCATCCCACCTCTTCCATCCCATGTTGCCTTTTGCTTCCTTCATCCCACCTCCACATTCCACCTCCTTGTATCCTGTACCCCATATTCCCAGCTCCTCTCTGTCCCCCCCCCCCAGGGGAAGCAAAGCTCCTACCTCTCTGCCCCCCCCCCCCCAGGGGTACCAAAGCTCCTGTGCCCACCACACCAGGTGTCGCCGGGCTGGGCATCATGACCTGCAGGTGCCGGTGGGGTGGGAAGTGACGCCCGTGAAGTGCCCGTGGTGCTCCCGGCTGCTCCGGTCTTATCACTGAACTGGAGACCTGCAGAGCCGAGGTCTGCCTAGCAACAGGTGATGTGGCTGCTGGCAGCCAATGGGGATTTTTTTTCTGGTCCCCC